TTTCTAATTTTACCCTAACCATATATTTACTTTAGGAAACAAACACAAAACCTATTAACATTACTAATGAGAACTGAATCCTGTCAGTATAAACCTAGCACATGCATTCCAAGGTTCTACTGCTACAAATTGTGTAGATCAATTTAATCACGAATAACAACATATAATAGAGCTTAAGGAATACAACATTAAATGTGACCCTTGCCTCACACCATCGGATTACATCATATCAAAGCTGAAAACTCTGTCAGGCTGATTCCCTTGTGTCCCTAACCCAAACCAAAGCAAAGACTATGGTCTATCATACAACTCTGCACAAGGTGCAGTAACCTAAGTTTTATCTTTCTATAGGAAATGGCCAGTTACTTGATAAAAAATATTAAAACATTGCCAGCAACCATTTTCTGAGTTTGTTTATCAAACATCTTATGCAAGAACTGACCCCACAAATTCACTTAACAGTTTGGAAATTTGAAACCTGCAAGAAAAGGAAGTGGGAATCCCTAATCCTAACATTTATAATTTACATTTTTTTGTTTTGTTTTGTTTGAGACAGAATCTCACTATGCAGTTGAGGTTGGCCTTGAAAGAACTCTGTAGCCCAGGTGGGCCTGAAATTCAAACCAACCCTTCTACCCCAGCCTGCCAAGTGCTGGGATTACAGGTGTGGCCACCATGCCCAATCATCATGTTGTAATTACTAAAGGTATATAACATGCACACTAAAAAATTTTGCTCACAGAAGGCACAACTATAAAAGGGATAGTCTTTTTTAATTCTTTGTTTTTATTAAAAAAGACTATCCCTTTTACAGTTGTGCATCCTTTAAACATCCTTTAGTTATAAAAGAAAAGGCATTATAAAACTTAGAATTCAGTTACTTCATTCTTTATCTAACACATAAAAGATCTGGATGTGGTGGCACATGTCTGAAATCCCAGAACTTGGGAGGCTGAGGCAGGAGGGATCACCATGCCTTCAAGGACAGCCTAAACTACATCCTGTCTCAAAAAGAAAAAAAGACTCCTTCCAGCTGGGGATTTAACTCAGTGGTTCCGCCACCTGCCTGCCTTGAAAGCCCAAGGACCCAAATTTGATCTCCGGTACCAAGAAAAAAAAGACACTTTCAACAAAAAGAGGTTTGAACTATTCAACATTGTTCCAGAAAAGAATTTGTTCTATAGGGACCAGATGCTTAAGAAGTATAGCTCTACAATTACAAGCCATTTATACATAAGATGACCTGCTATCTTCTTAAGAATAAAGGTCATCAGCAGCCATATTATCATGGCTTTCAAGATACTGCTCTATAACTCCAAATTCTCACAAAAAGACCCTAGTCTTCAAAACTGCATATCCTCCCCTACCCCCCATTCCAGGGATCATGTGGTGCCACTGAGCTACAACCTCAACCCAAAACCACATATTCTTAAGGAGGACTCCAACTACTCCAACCCATCCTTATGTATTACAATTCTAGCCATCAGCCTGCCAAGTCTCCTACAGTACCCTCTCCGAGTGCCTTTGTAAGACCTTGCCTTACCTGTTCAACACATAATCCAGGACACTATCAATTTTAAGCTTCAGCCTTATGTTCTCTGTACCATAAGAAAAATGCTACCTCACATTATTTTTCTAACCAGGCATGGTGGTGCATGCCTGTAATCCCAGCACTCTGGAGACTGAGGCAGGATGGATGTTATTTTTCTATCATAGAATTGAAGACGTATAATTCAGAGAGGTTTTTTTTGAGACAGGGTCTCAATATGTAGTCCAGGCTAGCCATAAACTCAATTAGGTAGACCAGGCTGGCTTTGAACTTGCAGCAATCTTGCCTCAGCCTGCAGAGTGCTGGGATTACAGGCATGCACCATCACGCTTAACCTAGAGATTTAATTGACAAAATGTACATTTTATGATCCTTCAGTAAGAGCTTTACACAAGAAGATACGCTCAAAATGAACTATCCATCCTCCTTAGTTAACATGACAAAAGCTTATTAATTCTTTAAAGAAGCCAGGTGTGGTGGTGCACACCTGCAATCCTAGCTAATCTGGAGAGGCTGAGGTAGAATTTCAAGGCTAGTCTGGGCAACTCTGTAAGGTATCTGAAGATTATTTCTTTAAAAAAAGATTTTCCTGCAAGCACTGTAGGCTACACTTTGTAATCCCAGCACTTGGGGACAACGAGGCAGGAGAATCTCTGAGTTTGAGAGCAGCCTTGACTACATAGTCAGTTCAGGCCAGGCTGACATAAGCAAAATCCTCTTTCAAAAATAAAATTCCCTACAGAATAGAAAACACGCTGGACAACAGTATAGATCAGATAATTTAAGTTTGAAGAATATCAAAATGTTACTAATTACTAAAGCTGAGTGATAAATACTAAGTCCAGGAGTACTTAGACTATTCTACCTGTTTACATTTGAGATATCTCTTAATAAAAGCATCAGAAATGTTTTTTAAAAATTGAGGTTCGGTTGAATGCAACTTACAATGCTTAATAAAAATCTTTATTCTTTTAGTATTAAAAGAACTGAGATGTGGTTCCAATTTTACTTCATATCAACAGAGCTGAGTTGATTTTGATATGAAGTTACTAAGCATCATTAAGGGTAATTTCCAATCTGCAACTGTGAATAATATATATACCTCCCACAATTCTTTTAAAAAGTAAATGATATAACTGGGATATAACTCCGGCAGAGTGCTTGCCTAACATGCTCATGACTATTATTAGTTCAATCCCAAGCACTGAAAGCATAAAAGCAAAGGGGGTACTTTATTGTATTATATACATCATAAAATATAAGTAAGGTACACTGAAAATTCGGATTTTATTATTATTAAGGCCATACTAGAACAATATAATAATGGGTCAAAATCTTGCTAATTTCAGAACTTAAAAAAAAAAAATGGGCTGGGGATTTAGCTCAGTGGTTCCAGTGCCTGCTTTGCAAGCGCAAGGACCCGAGTTCAATCCCTGGTACCAAAAAAAAAAAAAAAAAGACGGGGCCAGTGATGTAGCTCAGTGGCACTGTGCCCGCCTGCCAAGTGCAAGGTCTTGAGTTCAATCCCCAGTACTGCGAAAACAAAATATTAAAAATGCTAAATTCTGCCAGTTTAGTAATCTACTCTAAATTGATCTGAAGTGACAATTTGGAGCCATCATATGAAATTACTTTAACTATTAAATTGTACACAACAGTAAATGTGGAAAATTTTACAGTATATAATTATAGATTTCAAATGCATTATGGTACAGCAAAAAATAATTATAGGAACTAAAAGAGTAGATGTAAGTTTATTGTCAGATTATCTGTCATAATCCTAATATGAAACAAGATTTCTTGCTTTGTAGTAGAGCTTTTGAAAAAAAAAAATGTGTTTTTTTTAACGTTAACAGAGTTTCAAGTATCTTTGAGAGTAACATTGGTGCTTCCTGTTGTATATCCCTTGACAGTATTCTGTTTGGGGTATGTCCTTATTTTAATTATTCCTACCAAAACAAACCACTCATTTAGACGTCTGTAAGCTAAGGAAACTCACTGCGTCTAAAGAGGCAAGTTGGTTAAAAACAGGGAGGGGCAAATTTAAAATTTTTTTTTTTTGGAGACAGGTTCTCACTATATAGTTCATTCAAGTTGGCCTTGAACTCACTATCCCAGGCTGTCCTCGAAATCGTGACAATCCTCCTGCCTCAGCCTCCCTAGTGCTAAGACCACAGGCCTGTACCACCATGTCCAGAGGAAATCTTTTCTTAATTTCAGTCATTTTTGGAAAATGAGAAATGAAGCCAGCTCCCACTGCTATCAAGGGCATCTGTGAGGGGAAGTGTTATAGCTTTCATAATTCTTTCAACCAAATCTAAAAGTCAAGGCATTAAAAATTCTTTGCTCTATTTAAGTCCATCATCGTGTGTTTTACCTTTTAAATTAAAATGATACTCTAAGATCAATCACCATATCTGCAGACAGAATCTACATTAAGATTGATGGTATTAGGACTTGACAAGACAAATTAATTTTATGGAACAATACTACTCTCAAACTGTACTGGTTTAAGTATTTACTAATATATTTTTCTCACTGATTCCACAATAGAAATGTGCATAAATCTTAACAAAAATTATACTATTCTGGATAAAAGCCTACATTTAACAGTAAAGTTTAAAAATCAATTAATTACATAGCCAGGCATAGTGGCACACACCTGTAATCCCAGTACTTGAGAGGCTAAGGCAGGAAGATCACTATGAGATCAAGGCCAGCTGGCACTACCTAGTAATTTCAAGGCCAGCCTGAACTACACAGTGACACCTTGTCTCAAAAAACAAAAAACAGGGCTGGGAATTCTGCTCAGTGGTTCTTTTTTTTTTGAGACAGGGTCTCACTATGTAGTTGAGACTGCCCTGGAACTCACTATGTAGCCCAGGCTGGTTTCGGTCTCGAACTCACAGCGATCCTCCCACCTCAGCCTCCCGAGTGCTGGGGTTACAGGTGTGTGCCACCACACCCGTCTCAGCTTAGTGGTTCTGCGGCCAAAAGAAAAAAAAAAGTAGGGCCAGGGATTTAGCTCAGTGGCTCCGGCGCCTGCCTCGCAAGCACAAGGACTAGAGTTCAATCCCCAGTATCAAAAACAAAACCATACAAGCAAAAAACAGAAAATTTTAAACAAAGAATAAATTACATCATTTCTGAACTACAAGTGTAAATGCTACAATATATATCCAAGTATATATTAACTACGTCTATATTCCAAATAAGTGCTTTTAAAAAACTGCCCTAAACAAAAAATATAAAACAAATTATAAACCAATTCTGTGAGGAAACCCATTACTGTAGATTTAATTATCAATCTGAATAACAAATGTAAGGGATATAAATCTCTCCTCTGGCAGCTGTTTAAAATATTGCCTAACAATTTGACAAAAAAATTAAGACAGTAAATAGTTCATCTTTGTAGTATACCAGTAATCAAATAGATTTAATGAACACGTACAGTTCCAGAAAGGACATCATGGGGGCAACAGTTGAGAAGGTGGCTCTTGCATACTCTGTCGTCACTGAATTTGATTCGCTGACGGGTAGTGTCTCCTGTAATATAGAAAAGTTAATAACATTCAAGGTTAGACAACTGGAAAATATTTATAGTCTGAGAGCCCAAGTATCACTAGCTCTTTATGTGTGGCTATATATACACACACATTTATAAATCAGGTCAAGAGGGATTAGCCTTTTTATAACATCCTATAGAAAAAACTACTTTAGACAACATGCAGTTGCAGTATGTGTACTGCACATGTAATTCAAACAGTCAAAGTGGGAAAGCAATGCATTCTGTTAAATAGAATACTTCAGGAAAGCATAGGATTTTAGAGCAGGAATGGACCTTAAAGTTTATGAAGTCCAACTCCTTCATATTGCAGATGAGGAAAACTGAGGCCCCAAGAGGTTAAGCGATTGCAGCAGACCCACTAAGAGAGTTTCTACTGGAATACAATGTTCCCTTCTTGACAGTAAGCAATGACTTATTTTGTAATTATTTACATTAATTGAAAAACATAAAAAGTAATCTTGCAAACATTGCATACACACTGCGAATCCCCACTGAACCCCAGACGCCATTTCTTCCACTATTTTGTTCCAGCTGAAGTGTCTCCCTTTTGCTGCTGGGAGGAGTTAGAGAGGGTAGAATAACGCGTTTAAGAGCGTACAAACCTGGAAGAAGGACTTACACACCAGTCAAACAAAGGCACATAGCCTAAATGAAATGTTAACTTTCTAATGCCTCCAAAGGTTCCACAGCTCCAAGTTTTTATGAGGTCTGTGCTATATATTGCCAAACTGGGTAAATTTACATTTATTCTGTCTTCATATAAAACAAAATACCTCCTAAGCAACAGAAGCATCCAACCTGCTTATCAAATATGGTATCTACTCAAAACTTTAAAGAATCTAAGAAAAAGAAAGGTAATTAGCTCTAATAATAAAATATAGATGTTACAATTTTTTGCTTAGAAGCTCTGGGAAAAAACAAAAGAAAAAACTCTTATGGATGTTACCTCTTTCTATATAAAATGGTACGTCCTAAAAAACTGTGTTTTAGCCTTAAATTATCACCATTAATGGATGAAAACCTACTGGTGAATTACTGAAGCAAAAACTATTGGTACCAAGAGATTATAAATACCTCTATAGAGGACAATGCCTGGAGCACTCCAAAAACTTTCAACTAAGAAGTGATTTGATTGCTCAAATTCATTTGTGTTTTCACATGTGAATAATAAAGAAGGTTGAAATTTTACCCTTCAAATATTTATACTAAAGAGCTTAAATTCAATGAAAACACTATGGGGTAAAATTTTGTTCCAATTGTTTTAACTGGGTTAAAAATATTTTTAAAACATTCTTACAACCAGGGTATACACATTAAAAAAAATAACATAGCTAAAATGATAGCTTCAGAGCAGCTTCAACAATAGGTTTTCTAGAGGCTAGTCTCTAGTAGGTTATTTTTGACACAATTTGGAATAATCCATTTAGTGGTCACGCCTGCTACTATAATAAAGGTTATTTTGATGGTCTCTTTTTCCTTTTAAACACAACTGCTTTTGTTCCACATTCATTAACACATCTGAAAAGTTAGTGATAACTCACGGCTCGGCGAATGCGGGGCCTTTCTGACACTCCCTTGCAGATTGAAGTAGGCAGGCATAGATACATTGAACCTTTACAAATAAAACAAGGGGCCAGATTGTTCAGTTTGTATAGAATAGACTCTGCCAGCAATTTCAATACAGCATCTAGAAGTACATGTTGACTGAAGATTCTCGTATATGAAAACAAAAGTGAACAAAATCAAAGTGTATTTTTTAAAAATAATATTAACAAGTGTAACCCTAGAGACGATACCTAACGATAAGTAAAAGTCCAGGGCCAACTGAGCTTTAAAGAAAAAGTTTCTTTAAAAAGTATTCATCAAGACTAGTGAGTAAGTACCTTAATCTCTTATTAGGATGGCACTGTGATAAACTCACACCAGAATGTCCAAGCTACATAGTAGAAGCTTTCTGTTTCCTACCATTTAAGAAAAAAATATGTTTTAAAACTGTACTCTAATTACATTATGGAATTTAAAAGTGATAAATATTTTAAATTAGGAAAGCAAAAAAACTTACATATCCAGGAGTTTCCTTGCTACAAGTAGCTAAGCTCTTTGGCAATACAACAACAGTACTTGGTTAAACTTATGACTCAAGAGTATAAGATAAGCCTTAGAATACAATGAAGATTCACAAAGTTTTACTAATGAAACATTTCCTCTAGGAGGGTTAACTTTTTGCCTAAGAAATCACATTAAACCTAATACTACTAAGGTATATGTGCCCTGAAGACACTCTATCAGATAAAATAGGAACAACTGCAACTAAGAATATGCAAAGAATAGCCCTGATAAGGTTGGTTTGTTTGTTTTTAGATACAGGGTCTCACTATGTAGTTGAGACTGACCTGGAACTCACTATGTAGCCCAGGCTGGTCTCCAGCTCAGTGATCCTCCTGCCTCAGTCTCCCCGAGTGCTGGTGCTGGGATTACAAGCATGCACCACTACACCCGGCATGAGATAAAGTTTTTAAGAAAACCAAGTGGGTGTATATCAAAAGGCATTCCCCCCCTCCAGTACTGGGGATCAAACTCAGGACCTTGCATCAAAAGGTATTTTAAAATAACTCCTCACTGCAAGTGAATGGCTACTCCATAAATGTTAACTGTAGCAAATATAATAAAAGGGCCACTGAATATCAGCCATTATAGAAATCTTTAAAACAATGAAATAAAATAAATCTAATAATCTGAGAAACAGAAACATTCAGAAAGGGACTTAGCAAGTGAGGATCTGTTAACTGATATGTTAAAAGCACTAAAGGACTTTAAGGTTAATATTTTAATACAATTTGGCTACAATGCAGTATTTAATAAATTTACACTGGTTTATGCCATGAAAGTATAATTTGGTTAAACTAACAGGATTTTAAAATAAAAAGACCAGTGATTTTGCTTTCTGTCAAAATATCTGGCCCAAACCATGTTTTTCAAAGGAAACTAGATAAAACAGTGCCCCTTTTAAAACAAGAAAAAAAAAAAAAAAAAAGACTACAAACAGGTAACAAATATTTAAGAAAGCTCCTTATAATACAAGGAAATATCATAAGAACTTAATGCATTTTATTTTTTGGCTATTTTAGATATTAGTCACATAAAAATAACCTAAATTGTGTGAACTACTCTCCTAAAAATTTCTTCTCATGTAACATCTAAAAAAATATGGGGGAAAATTGCCATGTAACGCTGATGTTGGCTCCAAATCACAGAATCCAACCTACCAGTGATTCTATTCTCTGTGCAAGGCAATGGGGTTACGAGAACCTAAAACAAGCACTGCTCCACCCTCAAGGAGCTCACACTTTGGTAAAGAAACAAGATACATATAATTAACAAGTAGTAACACAAGGTAGCATGATCCAAGTGCCAAATGGGTATTTTGAATAGGTAGCACTTAAAAAGAATTTTAAGACTAGAAATACCTTCAATGACTGGAGAGGCTGGGAAAGGCTTCATGGAATAAGTAGAAGCCAAAATTAAGACAGACAGGTCTTAGAGTAAAGGAAAAAAGAAGACTATTCTACACAGAAGTAGTATCTTCAATAAAGCTGACAGCCAAGAAGGGTTGGGGATCAGTAAGTAAATCATATAAGGCTTTGGCAAACGGCTTCATGTAGGGAAACAGCAAAGTTGCGGCCAGGATAATATTTTGGAATAAAATTTAATGTCTTTATTTTTAATTGAGATTTTTAGTATATATACAAAGTTTCTGAAAAAATTTTTAATGGAGAAGAGACTCCGTTGAATTAACTCCAAGTTATTCAAGTCAGCAACAAATAAATTGTCCTACTTACATAAACAGGCAGGACTGTCCTGTAACTTCCACCAATAATTAATTAGGCTTTGCAGATACTACAATGCCAAGTTTTTAGAATTAGAAATTTGATTTAGAACTTTGGTGGGTGAAGAGCCTTTTATTTGAATAGAAGCACCAAAAGTTCTATTAATCTATTAATACTTCTTATCCAAGCAGCTATGCCCAAAGTTAAAACTCTCTTACTCTTTTGTTCAACCCTTCATGGGTAGCGTGAATTATAAATTATAACCTTTGAGATCACTGGAATTATAGGCATACAATAAAAACTGGCATTCTTAGTGTTTTTATCCAGGTCTTTCACCAACGTAATAGAGCCTGAGGTGGTACTTGCATCAGACAGCTTCACTCGGGGAATATGAACAGGCCAATCTAAAATGCTATTCTCAAAATCCCCTTCAATCTCTGAGGAAGGAAAAATAACCCCATTATAAGTAGTAATACTGCCTTTGTATGATCCTACCTTTTCTGAAAATGACTCAAATGTTTTAGGAGTTAACACTTAAAACCTTAACCTAGGTAGTATCTCGCATTGTACATGGTGCATGCTGTTTTCCAGATACCCTCCCCGCTCCCTATTACCAACCACCCTCTCCCACCCATACAAACAATAAACCAAATTAACTTTCAAAGATTTAGGTGCTATTTTAAAAACATCAAAATTTTACTTTACCCATTCTCTCCGATGCTCCCTGTATATTTTTAAGCTGTGAGTGGATGACCATGCTATGTGATCAACAACTGTAAAGGCTAAGCAAAAGTGAACTGAGTTTAGTATTATAATTTCAAAAAAAACTTAAAAGTTTGTAATATTTGACATATTTAATATATGCAGAATCCTATCTTACTGCATATTATCAGGCATTAATGGCAAACAATTTATAAAGGCAATCAATATTTCTTTTGTACAGAATTAATTTACAGCTTAGCTTAGGGAAAACAGAGGAAAGAGAAACGCAAAGCACATGAAGCAATGGAAGCATCCCCATGTCTATAAATGAGGCCAAGGAGGGAGTGCCTCTCACATTTTCCAGTGTGACAACCAAATCACTCCCCAAAGATACACATTTTAGGGGCCATATGTCAGCTGGCTTGAGAGAGAGCAGGTTCTTTTCCTCTGAAATAAGATCCATAGCCCTTCAATGATAGGAAAGCTGACCTAAAAAGAGAAGTACAGAATTGAAGCTTAAAGCTCTGACCCCTTCAGATCCCAAATGTTGAGAAATATTCCTCTCTCACTACCAATTCTTTCAATATGTGGGAACTACATAAAAACCCATGGCAAGTTTCTAATCTACTCCAGGGCTCAGACACCTTAAGAAATGTAAAGTAAACCCTTGTGTCTTCATGTGGATCCAGGGTAAAAGCAGGTGAGTACTGCTGCTTGGTGACTACTATACTAAGAAACCAGCCTAATCATCTTTACATTTTCCTCACACTTCTTTACCAACTGTACTACTTTTAATTATACTACTTGTACCATCTGTTCCTTTAGCCTCCATCTATATAAATCTTTTGTAAGTAACCTTTTAAGAAAAAAAAAAAATACTACTCCTTTACTCCCTGCTGCCTTAATAAATGTACACAGTCTAACTCACTGCATATTTAAGCAGTTCAATGCATAATGTTGAAAAAGGACTCGCTACTGTGTCTTAACACAACTACAGATGCTTTGAAAACATTTATGGTTTGATACATTACACCTCTCAGATATTTATTCTAAAAGTGATGGTAGACTGCCTTGCAATTGTAATATCAAGTCATTTTTTTTCCTAAATTTATAGTTATGATGAGTAATAACAGCTTTCCTGACCTACACAAAACGCAAACATAAAGATAGTACACAATTCAGAAAGGCTAGCCTCTTAAGCCTTTGGTGCACATGGTCCTATAGGTTTAGAATTACAAACGGGTGCTAATATTACCCCTGCCATACTCCTCATTATAAACTCAACATTTTAAAATACTCATTGTAGAGAGACTTTCCAAAAGAAGTTCATCCTTGTTGAATCTGATCAGGTATTAATGTCTCTAAAGTTAAAAAAAAAAAAAGAAATCCAGCCTTCATGTCTATGAAAATCTATGTAAGAAAATTATAAAAAGGGCTGGGGATTTAGCTCAGTGGTTCTAATGCCTACCTTGCAAGCACAAGCGCAAGGTCCCAAGTTTGATCCCCAGTACCAAAAAGAAAACTGTAACAGAATGAGACTAGGAAAAAGCCTTGTTAGCAGCAGAGAATATAGGTCTTTAAGAGTTAACAGAGTAGTCATGACAGGGGTGTGAGAACAGAAACACTCAAGTAGCTACTTTCTA